TCTTTTGGAGATCTGTTAAGAATCTTCAACTATATAAATAAATTTGCATATATGCTTGGATTTATATAGATCTATGTGTTTTGTGATTTCATTGTGCAATTTGAATTAATCATCCTATTTATGTAAACATACCTACATATGTAGATTGTTTTTTGAAATAAATTAGTAAACAAATAAGAATAAACAATTATTAGGCATAATTAATCAAATGTCATAAAGGTTCTTATGAACAGTTGACCTTCTCCACAATCCCACAAAAACAAAATCAAAAAAATAATGCGAACATAAATTTCAATTTATTGACTAACTTCGCTTACGGCAATGTTAACGGCAAACAAAAAAAAACAAAAAGCTCTGATTAAATGCTGCTTAATGTCAATACTTAAAACTTTTAAACAATAATAAAATTTTTATTTATTTTTGTTTATCAAAATTTTGACATAAATGCGAATAAAAAATTATTTATCTGAATGTGGGATAATGTTGAAATTGTTTACAAAATGAATTCAACATAATGAAACGTTTACAAGCTCACGTTTACCGGTTACTAATTTTTCGCATTTTGTTTTTGTATGCTGTTTCTATTTACCTCAACCCGAAGGTGGTGGATGTTTGTAGAAAATAGCGAAAATCGCAAACCTAATTAAAATGATTTGCTTGTTAAATAATGTTATACTTTTTATTTATTTTCGATTTACTTTCAAAACTGGTTTTCAATTATTTGTAATAAATTTTCTTTGGTTTGCTCTTGTCGAGAATATAGTTTTCACGCTAGAACGATGTGTTCCAGTTTCCAAGTTAATAGCGAAAGATACGTTCCACAATTAGTTTTTCTCGTTTTTCTCGTTGTTTCCTCTTTCTTTTACCAAATGTGCATGCAACAAGTTTTCTCCTTTTCGCTGCAAACATTTCTGTGTTCCAGCACAGACTGAAGTTGAAGTTTTGGTTTAATGACCGGCATTGGTGTCGTTCCAGCTGTGAATTATTTTGTTATTATGTTTTCTTTTTGTGTTTTGCAGTGCATTTGGTTGCATGTGTGACTGCTTGCCGGCATTTTCGGACTTGAATTGTATTTTGAATCGTCGAAACGACCTCTTGGAAAGGGGCCTACGTGCAAATTCGCTCATATTAATACGGAAATTTAAAATAAATAAATTTTTATTGTTTTTATTTTGTTTTTCTTTTTAATAACCATGAAGTGAGCAAAAAAAGTGGAAAGCATAATTGAACAATCTTTAATCGCTGACTTTAATGAAGATATTGAAGTAATAAAATTTTTGGCTTTAGTTATGTGTTTAACTCAGGGACCGTAACAGTTATCATAAAAAAAAATTACTTTTTAACTATTATAAATTGAGAATTTTTTGAAATTCAAAAATTTTTTTTAATTAGTTTGATTTGTGTTGGCTCGAGGATTTTTTGCACTGCACTTATGTAGATATTTATTTATTTATTTATTGCACTTATTTATTATTTTGGGTTAAAAGTTTTCAAATTTATTTATTTATTTATTAAACATCTTATAAAATTTTCACAATTGCAACACCCAAATTACCTCAATTTGGCATCAATTTATTCGAACTCGCACGCGACCTTAATTATTTTGGATATCGCCATTATCCGTTATCAGCGGTCTTTGGAAACATCTTTTGGTTAAATCTAGAATTGAACCCTATCAATTTTGAATCATGGACTGCCGTGTTGACGTAGAAAGTCAACGTATATTTAATTTGCGTTATAAAAATTTCGGGTTTTGTCGCTTTTGTTATTAATTCGTAAACAATATTTTTTTAAACAAATATATTTATATGTTTTGAGTTTTATGCAGAAGAAATATATTCAATGATATTGGCAGGGTAAACATGTTCCAGTCGAAATGATCCAGAGATCATTTTTTATGAATTAACATAATTAAATTATTCAAAAAAATAAGTATTTATATAAATATAAATAATAAAATAGAAAAAAAATAAGAGATTTTCATTTTCACATACTCCTTGCGCTAGTTGTCATTTACGATTTCATTAATACAACATAACTTTTGTATATTTGGTGGTTCTTTCCAGAAGTTCACTCTTACTCTGTTATAGCTCAATGTAATTATACGATTTATTCAATTGTTAAAATCGACAGAATAATATGGTCCTATCAAAAAAGTAAGGAGTATATAGTAGGTCTTATTGACTCATTACACTAACTTAAGGTAACTAAGGTAACTTACGATTTATTTAATTATTCCAATTGACGGAGTAATATGATCCTATCAAAAAAGTAAGAGTAAGGTATATAATAGGTCTTATTAACTAATTACACTAACATAAGGCTCAGTTAGTCGGTACGTGCCGTAACAACTTAAGTCAAAACGAAATGCACAACCAACCACACCTGAGTATTTTGTATTTGAGTTCTGAGTATTTGAATTTAGTTCTTACGGTACATATCGACTAACTGAACCTTTATTTGAAACATTATCGTAATTAATTCACTAATTGTGCAACAATTAGTCGCATTTTCCTCATACTTTTTTAATACATTTGGGTTAAAATAAAAAAAAACAAAAAAAAATAAATTATACTATAGTCAATATTTTTAAGTTTAAATTATATTAACACCTATTCCATTTTTTTAAACATTTCTTTTATTATATTTAAAGTTTAGTTTCATGCTTCAACGATCGTGAGCTCATAATTAAGTAAAAAATGAATGCAAGTTTAATTGAATTCAATTTAAACAAATTTAAACATTTTGTTTGGTTCCATTTGAATATGCGATGCATGATCATCAGCACGTCGATGGTCCAAGATCGAGTCAGAGTCTAGTGCAGGCCGACGCTAATATTTAAAGTCAATACCCGGAATGAGGTTAAATAAATATGACAGCAGCAGTTTTATGCAATTTTTTTTCTGCAAAATGTTTAGATTTATAGTAAGTAAAACTGCACTGAAAAATTTTCACTTAACATTAATTTGTTGGTTCTGTGAAGAAAACCTGATTGAATTCAAACACTTATATTAAGAAAATATTGGAAATTTATCATATAATATAGCACGGGACATACTAATAGATTTTTTAGTTTTCATATACAAATATAATGCAGTGTTTTGAGCCTAAAAGTGAGATATGATTTTGATGTGGAAAAAAATGCAATTTCTTTTATTTTGGATCATATTTTTATTGTATCATTCATAACATATGATATTGGGTATATGTCCGCCACATGAATATCAAAGAACTCCCGTTTTTAATAGAATTTTAATCATTTGAGATGTTGTATCTAACATTTACTCTGGTCTATGTTGCTTTCCATTCTGAAATCAATTCTGGCTAGTCCGTCTAGACCAATGCTTTCAAAATATTCCACAGAATATAGTCTACTGTCAATAGATCACAAGATTTCGGTAGCAAGATAAAAAGACTCTCTTTATTTCTTTGTAAGGTTACTTTGACACTATTTTGTTAAAACCAAAGACCTTTGAGTGAAAATTTCTCTTAAAGCAACTTATGACCGCGAGTGTTGTCAATAAACACAATTTAGAGGTATTAAAATGGAACGATTTCTAAGAGTATGCAAATAACGATTTACTGGTTCGATTCTTGTGTCAATTGAGTCGTGTAAGAAAGTTCTTTCCATAAAATCTTGCACAGAGTTGCTGAGCCATGACTAAGCTGTTGTGACCGACATCGAATCGATAAATTTTGGTTAAAGCTACGTTTCTATAAAGGGGTATGACGGGGAGAACGGGGCCGCTTTTGCTGGCCGTTTGGCGTCTCAGAAAACGTAAATGTGCTATAAAATTTTAATATTTTATTTATTTTATTAATAAAATAACATAACCCATGAGAACTACTTCATTAATCTGTTATCGATTCAGAGCAAATTATAAAAAAAAAATATATTCCTCAGATAAAATCCACCATATTGAAGATGGGCTATATGTGTGTCTAATTATTTTGTGTCTAACAAGAATTCTACAAACAGTGGCGGATTCAGGAGTGGATAAGGGAATACCACCTCATGGGCAATATAATATATATTTGAACAAAAATTTAGGGAACTGCACATAGAGTGCTGATAAAAATTATTTATAGTCTTACAAAATTATTATAATTTTCTTGGCACAATCTTGGGTACGCCACTGTTTTCAAAGCAAAAAAAAAAATAAAAGTATAAAAATATTTTTGTGCAATTACTGTTATTAAAAAAATTGTAAAAATAAATAAAAAATATATATTTTGATTGAAAGTGAAAATGTGTATTTCTCTTCATTTTTATCGCTATTTACAGCAGAAAATGTTTAGCTGAAAATCAAACATTGCCTAGAAAAAGTTCAACTGATAAGAGGAAAATCGTAAATGCGATAGCCTTATTCTGTCACAACATTTCCAGAACTTTTTTTCCAGTAATTTAAATTTATCATTCTTTATTATTACTACAATAAATAAATAAAATATTTACCTATTTATTTAATAAAATTAACAATACATCAAGTAGTGTATCTACTTATCCAGCTTAACTGGTTTCTGAGATATCAGATGATAATAATCACCAACTCCTTCTGTTTTGCTCAAAAAACTGTGCAATAGTGTTCGTTCGCCTAGACACGTAGACCACATAATCCTCAAATGAAGTTGCTTCCCTGCCCAAAGAATGAACTCAATTTTTAGAACGTAATTCGTTTCTATGTTGCGTTCTCGTCTTTGTTACTTTAGAAAAAACTAGAAAATACAAATTCTCTTTAACAAAACAAAACAAACCACACTTTCAACGGGAAATTTTTTGAACTTTCAGGGGTCACGAGATGCGTCACAGTCGGCAACTGCGCACCACCATCGATGCCCATATGCGATTGCGGCATCGAACGTGCCAAGCTGCACTCAACTAGAAACTGAAGCATTTGAGCGTCACGTGCAAAATGTATCTATGTATCTATCTATCTATTCTACATCTATTTCACAAGTAAATTAAAATGAGATACAGAACTAAATGCACTTTTAAATTTTTTTTCTTTTTGTTTTCGAGTTAAGTGCACTAAGTCCAGGTGCGGAGACCTTGAAAAATACTCCATTAAATCATAATTGCTTTTAAGAAGTCTTCAATTAAATTAAATTAAATATTTTTTCCATTATTGAAGAGAAAAAACAGTTTTTAACCTGCTCAGCAGGTTAATGCTCGAAGCATTTTTGTATCTTTTTTTGGTGGGCAATTAGATACAGTAGCGTATCTCTTATTTGAAGGTAGTACTTGAAGTTATACCGGTTATAAATGTTATCCTTATAGTTACAACTTCGAGACTCTAATATAGTGTGATAAATATGTTAAGTAGATGATTGAGTTCAAGGAGAAGTTAGAGAGGATATTGTTTTACTTATAGAAATCTTATCAACTCAATGGGTCATTGTCACCAAATAACTTGGATCAGATTTAAATGTTTGGTTAAGAAAATTAGTATATAAAGACCACATGTATATGTACATAGCAAGAATGCATGGGCTTAGATGTTGTAAGTAACTATTTAGTATGCAATTACACTCTACATTAACTTCGAGAAGAAGTTAGATTTAGATGAAAAGTAACTATTCAACCGAGAAGAAGTAAGATTCAGATAAATAAGTATCTATTCAACCTAGAAGTTAGATTTAGATAAATAAATAACTATTCAAGCACGGTGAGGTTAGGTTGAGAGGTTTCGTGTTTATACAATTGTCAACACTTTTATTCGGAAACATCTATTGACTATTTTAAGAAATTATTCATTACTCGTTTCCAACCAAACTCAACAATGAATAATTGATTTTTATCCTAGACATTGAGATTTCTTTCTTTATGATAATAAGTTGAAACCTATTGTGCTTTGAATTGATATTCAAGTAAATTCTTGAAGAGTATGTTATGTTATACTGCAGCTCTCTGAAAACTTTTTTTGGGAAGTCGATTGTAGAAATGGTTCTTTCTTTATAATAGTTGTATTTTTAATACAATAAAATGATATGAGATACGAGAAGTTGAATTAAAATGGTTGATATGGTATTTAGAAGTACACTTGTATGGAAGGAGATGCTTGGATGATGCCCCATTTTATAGGTTAAGCTGGAGTCATACCATTGCACACCAAAGCCTACTTGAGCACGTTGTGACACCACAGTCTTTTTATAAGAAGCACCTGATTCTGAATGAGGATAGTAAAAATGTGTCATATGGTAAATGTCACTACTTTAGTCGCAAGTAATCGATTAATCACAATTATAGTACGCCATAAATCTTTTATAGCTAGCTATAAATTTATTCAAAATCTATTTATTTAGTATTTAGAAAGATTCAGTATTTACTTGAGTTAATTAACTATTCAACAAAGTATAAAAATTTAATTGAATAGTAGTAAATCACAACAACAAAATTTCATTTATTAATTAATTGAATTTTTTAAGACCATATACCCCAAATATGTGCATTACTGAGTACTCATCTTAATATTTATCTAATACTGGTTTTAAATAGATATAATGGATGTAAATCAGTTGTTGAACTATAAGTGCCAGACATGGAACTATAAACCTGTAAAGTTAGAAGCTATTACTCTAAGTTCTTAAACCGAACAAGCCAAAGCTACATAGAAATTTCCCTCAAACTACGTTTTGTTTTTTTTGGTTATATGGTTAGTCAAAAAATTCGATTAATTAAGAAACAAATTCATATAAACCAAACAAATCGCGGGGTCACAATGGGCCATTATTGGCATAAATAGTCATGATAAGTCTTTATAGTCGTATTTACTCTATTTCTGTTTTTATTGATCGATTTCTTGTTAGAATCATTACTTTTAACAACCTGAACGCTTAGTTATATATAATGTTATTAGCTGGTACATGTTATAAATTCTTACCATCCAATTAATTAAAAGAGTGAAACAGTAAAAGTGTTATTAAAATATGTCTTCGTATAATTCCGTCAATGGTTTCTCTTTTAACTGCGCAGGTATTTGATCCATAACATAAATAAATGCGCCATTGTATGGTATTCCGTCGTATTGTATTGTGTTTACACAATTGGTATATGCCGGCCCGGTCGCTTTATTTAGAAAATACTAGAAAGGGTCGAAATGGTATAACATGGAAGAAAATACGCGCAATTATGAAGTTTCTTATTTCGTTTTATGTTCTTCTTCTTGAAATTGATTGTTGTCGTAGGTAAAGTTTTTAAGAATTTGTTTACGACTTTAGGTATTTTTTATTCTTTGAAGCCATTCATCATAGTTCAACAAAAAAAAAAGGGATTAAGATTATGAAACCTTATATGTTTAACAGAAATATGAAAAGGGATTTTAATAGCAACATTTCAATACATTTGTATATTTTTTATATATTTTCTTGGTTAAAATCTTAAGCTTCATTAAGCAGAATATATAAGTTACTATACCAATGAAAGGTTTTAATTGCGTGGAAGAGAACTTCATAGAATTTTCGAGGTTAGGTCACAGTGAAGCAGATATGTATGATGTTTCAATCTGCTGTGATTTTTGATAGTAAATTTGCGCAGATGTATTATAATAATAAATTTCAACATTATACATGACATAACTAATTTCTTGAAAAGTTATATACACTGCTTTATAATAATTTAAATGTCGATTTTCTTGTTAGAAATAAATATGCTACCTAGGTTTATAGGTTTATATGTATATGCAGGTTATATGAAATAATGTAAAATTATTTTGTTTAATTGAAAAATATATATATAATTTTAAATTATTAAAACTGAAATGTCACAAAGGGCTACACATATAATTTTAAACATGTGAAAGATTTTTATTCACAATCTTTGTTTAATTCCGCAAAATACTTTTCTTATTTTGTACCTTCCTTAAAATAATATTCAATAAATGTGCTTTATTCTGCCACTCAAACGCAAAGAGATTAAAGACCCTTCACAAAATCTTAATTCTTGGCCTGGACTTTAGTTTTTGCAGTACGATGTGAAATAAAAAATATGTATTGATTTTTATACATATGGGTTAGTTCTTTCTTCATTCATGTACGTATGTATTCCCCTTAACTTCTATATGTAAGTGTATACAACATATTTTATTTCCCTCTTTATACTATGACAACGAAGCTGGAAGACTTAGCATTTGAATCCACAGTTTTCATAACGCTTTAAGTATTATGTATAAAATTTTGTTTTCCCATTTCTTCTAGAACTTCAGTTCTTTCTTCTCTTATGGCCTTCCAAGCCACATTAGAATTAAAAACGATCAAAAATGATCATGTTTTTGTGAACTGAAGTTATAAAAGCATGTAAAATAGTTACATAACAAGCTTATAATAGAAGAAGAGAAGAACAGAAGAATGAAGAATGTATCGACAAATGTTTGAGTACTTGTTCTTTCGGTGATAAGCTTCCATTAGAAAAAAGAAAAACATGTTTATTTCGTGTTTGGAATTTATTTATCGTGTCTTCTTTTTAAATGTAACTGATCGTTTACATGATAAGAAACCTAATTTGTGTTTACTGTACAATCGATCAACTTAATTATTCTGTATAATTAGTATTCTATATAATATACATATGTAATGTACATACATAAATGTTTTTACTATTATATGCACATTGTCGCAACCAATAGGGGCGTTTGTGTAGGTGGTAACTCCATGAAACTGTTACTGAAGTAATATTAGAAACTTTGCTCCCACTTACTGGATTGCGTCTAATTTACATACATATATCTTATATTATTAATGAAAAAGACTGAGCAATATTGTCATATGGCGTAAAGAAAAAAGTTTTTATAAATAGTTGTGTTTACTAAAAGCCGTTAATTAATCGGAGACGTTCGCTTTAACTTGCCCATATTTTGAATTGTCATATACAGACTCTATTGGAAAGTTATTAAAATTAAATAATCACATAAGAATCTTTTAATGAATAATGTTATTACTACAAGTACAAAATAACTATTTAGTGAATCAAAAATCTATAGGATTTGTGGATTTACCCATCATAATCGATGGATTATGATAGATTGGAATGGTGGCCTTGTCTTCGAAGTCAACTTTAGCTCAAATAATGGTCCGTTGTGATAATACAGATTACCGTTGTTCATACGCAACAATGATGAACACTGATATATTAGTTGGACTACAGTTTCTTGCTCAACAACAGAACAATAACTCCGATAAAAGTCCTTAAAGGGTAGACCCAGTCTAACATGTTTTTCTTCTACGCAGTGATCTGTCAGCACTAATGTCGTAATACTGAGCAGATTACGTTTTAGTTGAAGTTTACTGGTACGTATTTTGTCTATTTTTGACCTGGTTGATCTTGAAATCTGACAGGAATTTTTATCTGCCTTAATTATATTAAGTTATTTTTTTAACTGATAGCTTGGCCACATAATTAGTATATAAAGTTTAGATTTATCGTTGGAATTAGAATAGAACTAATAATAAACGAGTAGTCCCTTGAAGGTACATAGTATATTCCCACTAAATCATTGCATGTCCTAAGGCAATACTTTTAATTATTACTGACCTAAATTTTGAAACACCTTAGGCTTTTTGTAAGCCCCTTAGGCTCTTTGATGGTTCCTGTTTTTAGTTACGGTATATTATTTAATTTGATATGATTAATTTTTATACTTAATATAATTGTGTTATGTTTGTTAAAAATTCTTCAGAATATATAAACTTTAGCTGTTCGTTGAATACATAAAGACATTATCTTTTTTCTAGTATAGCATATGATCTCAAAAGATCCTTTGATAATTTCACATAATTTCTTTCCATTTCTTAGTCTTTTGGTAACTACACCACATATTCTCTACAAAACAGTCATATCTTGCATATTAACAGCTTAGCATATATGCATATGTAATGCAGCCATATCGCCCTTGCGATCCCCAACAACTAGAAGATGTATTGGCACACATATGGAGCGACCCAAATTCATAAATTTAATTTCAATTCATGTGCTTTTCATATCAATTCATATACGATTATATGCATAGTAATATATACAAACTTATACCCACACATACATACATACATATTATTTGTGTTTAAAATATGTAACTTTTATTTGTTTAACGCATAAAGTAAATAAGTAAAGTAAAGTTACACAAATAAAAGCCTATATATGCAGATATGTATATAAAAAAAATTAAATAAATAAATATAGAAGTATGTATAAATGTATGTGTGTATGAATATATGTCAATTTGTATACAAAATCTACCAATGTTCTGTATAATCCATACTTTGTTTGTTGTTATTGTTATTGTTTGGAGTTGCTTCTTGTTTTAGTTGTTTTCGTATTTTGACGATCCCTTCTTTGTGCTCTGTTTTCTTTCTTCACTTGCTTGTTGGCAGACATTAAAATGTGTTTTATTGTCATTGTTGTTGTCTACGTTTCTCTGTCGCTGATGTGTGTTGTTGTTGTTGTTATGCTGTTTTGTTGTTGTTGTTGCGGTGTTATGTTGTTTTGTATATTCCATGCAAGCAAGAAACGTTTATATTTCTCCTCTGACTTGAATTCCAGTTTAATTTGTTTTCAAACGTGAAAGCGAACAGTTGTGCGTTTAAATTGAAACGAACAAAGCGAAAATTTACTAACAATTTTTTTGAAGTGTATTTTATTTAATTATTTTCAATAAATATCTTATATGAAAATAATTGTGATTTTTAACTTGAACTTTTTCAAAAATATAAATTTTACATTTAATGCAAAGTATTTGCAGTTTGCAATTTTATAAAAAATATAAAGGGAGGAAAATTATTAAATGATTGAACATTTAAAACGATAATATTTTGTGAACTTAGTGTTTTTAGTTAATTTATAAAAATTTACTGCCTAAAAATTTTATAACAAAAATTAAATTTCAAAAATGTCTTTCACAATTGTAAGTCGCAATTTATTGCGTACTTCAAAAGAAATTTTGGAGCGCGGAGTTAATGTGGGCGCAGTAACGGTTTTGAATGGATCTGTGGATATTGAACATCAGGTAAGTGTAATGGAAAAATCATTTATTCAAAAGGATGTTTTCAAAAAGCAAATTATTTTTTATGAGCTTAAAAGTAATGAAAATGGCATACACAAATTTGGTTTTAAAATTGAAATAAATAAATATAAGTAATATAATAAGAAAAAAAAATATATATAAAAAAATAATTAAATTAATTAAACATAATGCTGTAGATAAATTGAAAAATATACATAAAAAATAGAATAAGTAAATTAAAATGAATTTTTTTGAATATATATAAGAATTAACAAAACTTGAAAATATAGTAAATTAAAATGAAATTTTTTTTAAAAATATATAAGATATAAAAAAAACTTGAAAATAGAATAAGTAAATTAAAATGTACTTTTTAAAAATGTATAATAAATAAAAAAAATTAATTAAATATTTTTATATCACTAAATTTTAAAAATTTAAAAATAATTTAATTGTTTAATAACTAAAATATTTATTAAAAAATTAGAAATTTTAAAATTAAACTAAAACAATATCAATCATAAACAGTAATTTTTTTAAGATCTAAATTTCGATTTCAAGAAACTTAATAATATCAGTTAATATGGACCCTCTTAAACATCGCCTCTTCACCTTTAGAACTATTCTGCTGAAAATAGGTATTAAATTGCTTAAAAAATTTTTCATCTGACCTTCTTATTACGATTTGTATTTATATTAGTATTTCTTATAACGATTACTTAGTGATTTTATTTAACGCAAATGTGCTTTACTTATAAAAAAGTGCTTGAACAATCTAATTCTAAAAAATTTTTAACCACCAATGTTTGGTCGCTGTACCTTCTGTCTATGTTAATAAAAAACAGTCTTTAAAATAATTTCTATTTATTCTAAATAATACTTTCATTGCCAAATATATTTAATGGTAAATAAATAATGACGTTTAGTGAACATAACTATTAAATTAAGTTCAATCGTTCTTTATGCTTCGCGCAAATTACAACTGCAAAGAACAAGCACAATGGCATCCACAGTTCCACAAAATTCATGTGCAGCTTTTGCAGCTGCATCCACAATTGTTGTATGTTTTTACACACATATTTATTGTGGAATGTATTTATCATCTGCGCCGGATATACACTTCAGTTACTTCATTTCAAAGGACGATTAGTGGAAAACGTTGCGTTATAGAAGGCAATTTATTGGTATAAAATATTCGCAAGATAAAAATGTTTTATATACAATATTAGAGCGAAAAAAAATTTAACAAAAATACGTTAGTAAGCTTCTACAAAAAATTCAACTTTAAACCATTATAATATTTTAAAGTCCTTTACGTAAAAACACATATTAGAGCACCAAATTAAAGGATGTTTATTAAACTGAAAACATATGGTTTGAGCTTATTTAATGAAATGTTTCTTATATGTTGTGAATTTTTTGGCTTGATATTTTTTTCCGGAAAATCGTTTTCCAGTAGCTTGAAAAATAGTTAAATATTTCACTGCCATTCTCTTATACGATGTTAAATACTAAAGTATCATTTTCTGTATTTATGCCTAATAAGTCGAAAACATCCTGTATATATATTTTTATGCACATTTTAACATATTTTTATATTAAACAATTCGCACGTTCATTCAACAGTTAAAATCGGCAAAGTCACGATCGACGAGAAGTTCATACTTCCATAAATATTTCCCAAAATGGGTTTGCGATTTCATTTACATTCACACTGTGTCTGATGTGTTAAAATCATAAATTTTTAATTATCTTCAATAAGATTTTGAATATATTTTTTGAATATTTATTTTTAACACATTTGCTACTTTCAACTTAATACAGTAGATGGCAGGAAATTAGGACTCTGCGCAGTGTCCTTTTAGACCAGTTTGTAAATAAATATCTCAATTTAACAGTTTGTGTATTTAGACAAAATTTAGTGCATATTTGGATAAATATTTATATAGTATAATGTTGTGAGAAATATAATATAAATGTAAAATTATTTTATTTATTGCTCTTTGATAGACACCTAAAATGGAACAATAGTTTTTTTTAATATAATTAATTAGTTTAATTCTGTTCTTTTTTTTTAAATTATTTTTTTTTTAAATTTTAGTTGTTGGTTTTTAATAATTTTTAAATCTTAAATCATATTGTTAGTTAGTTGTGGTGAAGAGAGGACCGAATCCTTCTCAATTAGCTAAGGAAGCCGTATATTCATATATAATTCTTATAATTAATATATATATTAATTAAAAATTAATAATTAATAATAATAAAATTAAAATAAATTTAATAACAGTTTTAATAAAATTATATTATAAAAATAATTTAATATAATTAAAATAAAAATATTTATTTAATAAAACAGAAACTAGAAATTGTTATAAAAAGTTATAAGTAATAATTATATTAAATATAAATAACAAAAATATAAAGCAAATTAAATAAATTAATAAAAAAAAATCCATAAATATTTTTATAATTAGTTATAAATAGTAATAATAGTAATCGTAATAAATATTATTATTTATCATTGATACAAATTTTAAAGACATAAATATATTTCTTTAAAATGTAATATTATTTCACATTTAGTATATAAACACTTAACTGTTAATTCATGACAAGAAATGACTATTTAGATAAATCAATAAAAAATATTATATAAAATAAATAAAATCAAACAAAATAAATATAAAATTAAATATTTAATAAAATAGAATATGTAATAATAATATGCATTAATAATTACATTAAAAATAAGTAACAAAAATATAAGGTAAATTTTTATAAAATAAATGAAAAAAAATCCATTAAAAATATTATTAATAACTATAAATAATAATTAATAATAATTAATAATAATTATAATTATTTATAATTTATAGGGATAATATAGGGATAAGGATATGAGGCAAATCCGTATCATTAAGTTGCAATCTTTTAATATAACAAATAAACTGTTAATTTATAAAAAATAAATGAGTACATTAATAAATATATAAAAAATAAAAATATTTTATAAAATCTTGATTTATTATTAGTTTTTTTATGAAATCTAGTAGTGTTTCATTGTTTAAATTCTTCTTCCCTGCACAAGACTAATGTGCTGTGAAAACGAGGTCTTCACTTAGTAAACAACTTGTTGTTCAAAGATCGTCTTATAGCTTTAAGGTATTGTTCGAGCTTAATTTTGTTTCTAACATTGACCTGTTGAATTCATTTTTTTTATTTTTTTTATTATTTTCGTTTAGTACAAAACACCGCAATAAATTATCCGCTACTCTGCCATGCTTCCATTTTCTTATATAATTTTGCTGGCTACTTAAGTATTCTTCCAAGTTTATTAAAAAGAATAAACACTTTTAAATATTTACTTTATAAACTGAGAAAATGAAAACTTGTTTACTTCGCTACACTTAATTTAAATATATTTGCTATTCCAAATTAATAATAACAATATTTTTTAAATGTTTATTTTTTTTTTCAGAAATATAAATAAATATATACGTATATATATATACATATATATAAGTGTATGCATATATTAGATATTTTTAATTCAGGTTAGAAGTTTTTGAATAACACGTGTGATATATATAAATATATATATATTGTTTTCGCACAAATTTAAAATTGAGCAAATATTATAATTTTAAAATCAAATAAATTTGAAATATATAACAGCATTATATACATTTTTGTATTAAAATTATATAAAACATTCATTAGGTTTTTATACAATATAATTTTATTCGTCTTTAGAGTAGTTGACTTCGGCAAAGTCACGATCAGCGAGATCTTCTTGCTTCCACAAATTCGAAAAAATGAGAATGTTTTCATCCCACATGGAAATTGTGGAACGTGTTCAAATTATAATATTTAAATAATGATAATAATGATAAGTATAAATAACTGAATACAAAATATTGTTATTTAATAATAAATATAACTAATAAAAATATTATATAATAGTAGGTATATATGCATGGAGCTATGACAACAATATAGTGGTCTAATTTATTAATATAGAACTTGTGTTATAGTGATCTAATGTATCGATATTATATATTGGTTTAGGAGAATCTTTCACAAAGATAATTCATAATAAAATAATGAATAAAATGAATAAAATAATGAATAAAATATTTCATAAGATATAGTAGTGTAATTAATGGATAATTTTGTAAATTACAATTTTGATATAGAAAAAAAGCCAAGCAATTTTATTGTGTATGGTAGGTCAAGTCATTATAGTGGTTATACAAATCTACTTAGGTCCCTTCTTCGGTCTATGTTACAATAAAGTAAGTTCACAAAAATTTTTCATAAGATATGGAGAAATAATTCTCCGATATCAAAAAAATACTTATATAGTGCATTGTGGATACTGGGTTAGGTTATCAAAGTGATTATACAATCTAATTAGGGTCTATTTTTGGTTATTGTTACAACTGCATTTCATTTACAATGTTCCCATTTAAAAGGGGTTAAAATCCGCTAGCAATTGACCTCTTATCATCTTTGAACACCTTCATAAGGTTGAAAAGAAAAACACGTTAGGACCTTCTTGAAATAAATTATAAGTCTATATCATTAAAGTCTATCATTACATATAATTATATATGGATATTTCGCTGGATATAGTCTATGATTATTTAAAATAATTACTTATTGTCAAATTAATTGGACAGAACACTTTATTAGGATGTATTAGAAAAACTTCGAAAGACTTTCTTCAATTAAATTATATGTTTTAATTATAAGATACAAATATATATGGATATGTCACTGGACATAGTCCCTGCGTGCCTTTTTGCGCTTTTCGTATAGTGAATCTAAAATAATTATTTGCTGACAAATTAAATAGACAGATTTCTTAATTTAAGATATGGAAATAGATAAAAGTTATAAAGATAAAGACGATTAAAAAAAAAGGATAAACATATTACATCGAAATCTGTACTTATTGATTATTTTCATCTTATATTTAACTACTGCGGATGATATATTGCATTTTTAAGTATTCTTATACTGTATAAATATTAATGAGAAAAGTATTTTATAGAGTTTCTGAATTTGTTGGCTGTTGTTCAAATAAACAAACTTAAAATAAATAAATTTATTTATTAATTTCGTTTATTGCTTTGATTATTAAATAAATAAATATAATTTTTAATAATTTTTGTTTTCAACTTAAAATTTTTTCTAATGGTTTTCATATTAAAAACTCTCAGTTTTAATCACAAATTAAGCTTTAAAAATTGCCATATGTTTGCTCTAATTTCTTATCAATTTTTTTTATAATTAAAAATTCAAATGTGTCAAATTTCAGAGTTTTCATAATTAAAAAATGTTTAGAAGCTCTTAAAATCTTTGCCGCAGATAATAACTTGAATTTTATTCTTTTTTGTTATTTACTTTAATAAGCTTATCAAAAACAGGTTAAAAAGGTAGACGACGGTTCGATTAATTATTCAAAATCTATGCCAAATATAATATTCAATGAATTATTAAACTAAAAAAAATATTGAAATATAAAACATTTATTTATGTTAGTATTAGTAGTATTAATGGTATGTCTTATTTATGGGATGTATTATTTTTTATTATTAGATTTTAGATAATTTTTTAACCGGCTACTTTAAGTTAACTCATATATAACTACAATACAAATTAAAATTCTTTTTTTCTATTATTTTTAAAATTAAAATTTTAAAGCTTGTATTAAAATGTCCATATATTTTAAATAGTAAAAAAAATTTGCTTGATTTCTGTCATAAAAACCTTACTGAAAATATTTGAAAGGAACAACATATCATTAGTTTATATAATAGGTTGATCTTACCTAAGTAACATAATGAACCTATAATTATTTTTTTTACCGATTTTTTGTTATAAATTTTCTGTTTACATTTTTTCTAAATTGTTATTGGTTCTCTGTCTTAAGCCTCGTTTATTTCATCTCAATTTTCTCAAAAATGTTCCAATTATGAACTTCAAATTATTTTATAATAAAAACTTGTTGATATTACGTCATATTACGTGTACTTAAGAAGAGGTCTTTTCTTAAGAAGAAAAACCAGTTAAGGTCTTTTTTCTATATTTCATGGCGTTCCTACCTATATATGTAAATAAAAAATACAAGATAAACAAAATTTGACATACATATATATACAAAAAAAAAAAATATAATGATATTGAGAAAATATTTTTTACGCACTTTTTGAACTTTTTTATATTAAGGTTCTTTTAAATTTTATAAATATTAATGAATATATTTAAATTTAACAAAAATAGAATATGAACTCTTATCTTATTATATAAAAGAAAACTAGTTTTATTTATAATAAATAATATATTTTAATGAACTTCGAAACATTTAAAAAACTGGTTTCATATATAAAAAATATTTTCAAAAAATATATATTAATTTTTTTTGTATTGCAAAATAAATCTCAAATTTACGTAAAATACAAAAAATTTATTTAAAATTGTGTATAAAAATTTAATTAAACATAAAAAGGTGTGTTTTTAACGGTTATAAAATTTTAAATGCTTGTTTATGCCTTTAGAGCTAAAAAAAAAATCCGTTTTCTATTAACTAATTATTAAAATTTTTTTTTCTTAAATAAGTTTATTAATATTAACATATTTTTGTTATTACTTTTGGAGGTTATAGAACCATTTTCTGGAGAGTTTATATAGCCTTTAAAAGGATGATAAAAAGAAAAATATATTTACTTTAACTAATAACGAAAATCATAAGAATAAATCAATTTATACATAACATTTATTTTAATTATTTAATTATATTTAAATAAAAATAAAAAAATACAGTTAATACATAAAATAGTACACTTTATACAATATACAAGTAAATTCGTATATATAAAAATTTCTGTTAAATATGATTATTTAAAAATAATATTTATTATTATATATTATTACTATAATATTAATTATTACTATATATTATTATTATAAAAATACTTATTATTAATACACAATAATATTAATTTAATTAAAATTAATAATAATAATTATTAATATCTGCTAGAAATATCAAATATATACTTGTAGGTTATGTTGGGTTTTACCGGGAATATTAAGGATTTAATTAGGTTCACTGTACTACTATATTCAACTCATGGTTTTTCAAACCGTCTTCAGTTTTAAGCAAAGCCTAAAATACTCTTTAAAGGAAGGTCTTAAAGGTAGCTAAGATCATCTAAAAAGTTAGTCAGCACCATGATTAGTCGTCGTTACGCATATGTTGAACTATGACAAAGCAGATGTAATATATGTTTATGTATATGTCTTCCTCACAATTTCTCACTAAACGGGAAAATAAATCTTCTAGTACGACAAGACTGATTTAGTCCATGCCACTGAACAGTGACCACATACGAAAATTAGTAAAACCTATTATGGGAGGCCACTGGGAGATGAGGATGACAGAAGAATATTTCATAATGTATTTGGTTACTGTTTCATTGTGCTTCTTTGCTGAAATTCACTATATCCTTACGGGGGTCTCAGGAAGATTGCTATATAATAGCATTTTTTATATACATTTTTATTTACATTTTTTCAGTTTCACAAAAGTTTATAACGAGTATATAACTTGAGTTTAATAAAAATTTTGTTGAATTAAATAAAATATAAAATAAAAATATAATAAAATTATAATTATACTTATTATAAAATGATTATATTTACACTTAAATTTAAAAAATTTATGTCAAATAAATAATCCAATAATTAAGTTAATAATATTTAATATATCTACTTCGGATTTGCAATGTTGAGATTTTGATTTCTACAACATTCGATTTTATATTTAAGAACAGAAAAGAGCTTTGAACTTGTCGAACAGACTTAAAACACATATAATATATATATATATATATATATATATATATTTACATACATATATACTCATAAAATAAAATGTAAAATAATTAATCGACTTGCCTTAAACTGATTTCTTTGTGTACGCCTTTCTCATTGACTCAGAAAATTAATTGCATTTTGTAAAAAGAAGCAAATAAAGAATAATATTATTTATTTACAATAAAGAATGAAGTTTAATATACTTTTTCTTATTGGTTTTTTAATATTTTGTGGTTTTATGTCATCAGCGAACTGGACATCGTCGTTCTGCCTCATCAAAATCGATAATAAAGCAATGTGAACACTCGATGGTACTAATTGAGAATAATTCCAATGCACTGATAATTGCAACACGCAAATATTCTAAGAAACATGCTTCCTCCTTAACTAAACGCCAGGAGGAAGATAGTGATAGCGATTCGGATTCTGATGATGAATTCGAACGTAACCGTAAAAATATACAACCAAAAACAAGCGAAAGGGTAAGTTTTGAATTGTTTTACAATTATATTTATTTTTTATTATTTTTCAATAATATTTATTTATTAGTCTATATAAGTAGATATATGTAGTACCGACAATTCTATTTAAATTTGCATTATCTTTTGCAAAACAATTAAAAAATTATCTTTAGAAAATAATTTATGATCTATTTTTTTACAATTCAAAAATATATATACCTAAATGATTTATCAAATAACTATTATTATAATGATGGCCACAATGTATTGGGCATGATATAGGTCCTATATTTCGTTGTGAACCCCTTAGGGTACTTTCTTGATTTTTGCAACTAAACCAGTGTTTGAAGACTTTAAAAAATCTGTGGAGATACTTAACAGATGGACAATTGGATTGTTATAGGTAGCAATTACAAGTCAGTCAACTTTTAAATAAGAATGACCAAGAAGTCTTACCGTTTAGAAACTAATATAGTGGTACATGAACAAGAAATAAAAATTATTTATAGAATATATGGAGGATACAATTTCTGTTTTTCGTTTGAAAAAGTCTAACTTATCGATTGATGTGTTTACCTTTCCGAACTTAAAGTCTTACTTGGGGCGTACAACGAATAAAGTGTTACAACACTGCTCTGAATAATTTTCTTTCCAATAAACGCTTTAACAATTTTTGATCTACTGTAACCACATCTGCTTATTCCGCAAAGTAAAAATGTCTCAAGAAGTTGACTATCTATCTGGAGAGAATAGACCAGTAACAACGAGTAGCCAATCCTTTCGTCCATGTTCTCATCTTGATAGCTTCTACAGAAATCTCTATTAGATGCTAATAGTTTTGTCTATTATATATCTCAAGTAAATTTCTGCTTTCGCAGTTAAAAGGGAGTTTCGGTATTCATTTTAGGTAGTATTTCGTTATCTGAAAGAGAAAGAAAGGTATTATCTGAAAGGAGAGAAAATTTTTCTCTCCATTACCTGTTCTCTACTCGAATTTGTCATAGAATTCTTGTCATAGAACATACAGTTTTTAATTGTATAGGTTTGTCAAATTTTTCGAAATTAAAAAAATGTTATCGTGTTTAAATTTTTAATTAAAAAACATTCCTATAAGCTTAGCTTGATTTAATATTCCAATCAGTTCTTAAATCTTAATTCTGTTTTTTAATAATTACGTAAATACATTAACATTTCTACGTACAATAATATATTTTTGTATATAGCTGTATATATATATACATATATGTATATATAAATTTGCAATCAGAATACAAAAAAAATTCTTAATCGTATATCGAATTTTTTTTTTTGTGTTTAAAGTGGAGTACCAAAATATATTATCACCTCAGCTGGCAAAATAATTTGAAAATATATTTTTTTGTGAGCTGAATACGAAATCTTGTAGCTTTTTAAGCGTGGTGAAAACGTGTTTCAAATTATAAAATAAATGCTGGCTTATATATATAGCATACAATGGATAATACATGACATTACATATAGTAAATATTGATAATAAATCTATACAATTAACTTTTTTCTCTTTTTAGAATCACATTATTTTTTACATTAATTTAATAGTGTGAATAACATTCATAAGAACAAAATAATAATTGTAGTTAATATACAAAATATTGAATTATAAAAAAAACATTATTAAAAGCCAATATTCAAATTATATGTGAACTTCATAAAATAGAAAAAAAAATTTGCTTGATACTTTGATTTCTCAAAAAGTATATACATATCAGAGTAGTAGCTAAAAGGCAATGAGGCGAAGATCTTTTATTAAATTAATTCCCAGGATATTATTTTGTTTTAAAAATTTTGAACAGAGTTCAGTTTTTTATAATAAAATAATAATTTGGTCATAAATTTTCATTTGTTCCCCTTTCTTTTACATACTTACGTACTGCAGTCCTCTTCTTCCAGTGGAGCATATTGTGTTCTACGAATAACCTATCTTATTCAGTTTGCCTTCAATAGTTCTTCGTCAAATTTTGGTAAAGGCACTAGAACGGTGAGATTCAACGCTTTAACGTTTGTTTCGCAATATAGATGTTATTTTTGCGGAGAGTTTGCCCTACCTACTTCCATTTACGTTTTTTAGCTTCAATACTCGCACATACTTGATCTGTTCGCTTCCAAAGTCACACAGAATATGCTTAACTATTTGTACTGTGTTTTTACCACTTTTTCAATGAGTATTCAAAAGCATATTCATGGGTTCTTATATATTAGCAATAAGAGAGAACTACAGTAAGCCTTGTAGTGCTCACGTGAACCATTATATTTGGTTTCCAGAATGTAGTCTTGTTATATGAAGTCTGGTTCAGATATGTCAGCATTTACTTAAAATGTTTTTGAGAAGTTTATCACAAAATTACAATAATAGTTTAGGATCATTATATTCTAATCTAAATTGCATATTAATAAATATTTAAGTAACGAACAGTTTCTAATTACTTAATATTTACTGTGTATTAAGTAAGGTTTGGTTATACCGGCGAGAGAGATCTCAAGGGATCTCCTTCGGCCTACAGGCCCATTGTGTTACCGTATAATGATTCAGTGTGAATTATTTAAGTGTTACTTTTAAATATATATATATTAGGATTCTTCAGATCATATCATTTATGTAAATTGTTATTATTATTTATTATTGTTTCAGAGATTAGTTTCTATTTAGTTTATATTTTAAAAGTTTTTTTTTAAATATAACATCAGCATTTCTATATTTAATATATATTCCTATTAAATTAATTAATTAAAAGTTTTTAAAAGTTTTTTTTTAAATATAACATCAGCATTTCTATATTTAATATATATTCCTATTAAATTAATTAATTAATTTAATAAATATATTAAAAATATATATAATGTGTATATATGAATATTTCTGTGTTTTCATTTTCCAATTTTTATAATACATATTTATTTAATTTAGTTTTAAAAAATTACACTGCACAATAACGTTATTAATATTAGTTATTTAATAAAAACACTTAAATTTACTAATTAAAATTATAGTAGAAGATAAAAAAGAATAATAAATTAATAATTTCCTACAATTTATATTTAAAGGGTGATACTGATTTTTGGCGCCGCAAGATGCGTACATTGCACCGAATTTTGGATGTTAATCACGATGGTGTCGTATCCTTCGATGATTTTAAATTGTTAGCAAAGCGTTTCACAGACTTGGGACATTTAACTCCCGAATTATCAGCAGAATTTGAGGATGTAATGAAACAAACTTGGGAAGAACAGTTTGGTGAAATTACTCCTTATAATTTGCTGAACGCTGAACAATTTTTAACAGATATACATCATCGTCTAAATGATAAGAAAATGGCAAAACGTATTGGACGATTCTTGCCATATTTATTTAAGGTAACTATATATTACATATTTTTATTTATAAATTTAATCTAAACTGTTAATTTTTATTTTTAGGCTGTCGATTATGATCATTCTGGTCATTTGGATCTCGATCAATATAAACTTTTCTTCCGCTGCTTAGGCCTCTCCGATGAAGATGCCGCCATTTCATTTGCTGTGATAGATAAAAACAGTGATGGTCAAATTTCAATGAAGGAATTTGTACATTTAGGACGTCAATTCTTTATGACTGAAGATGAAACGAAAATCTCAAAAATGTTTTGGGGTCCGCTAATTGATCATTGACTGGATTATGCTCACGAGGCGATTATTGAGTTATTGTCTCGTGGCCGTCGGTCGGATGTACAAAAAGCTGTGCGAATTATGACCTTGCTATGTGTGCAAAGTTTTCAACAAAATTTTAAAAATTTCGAAGAAGATGATACCAATTATTTAAGACTATTTTTATATATGCACTCTATTATATTATTAATAATATCGTGGAATTCATTTAAAAGTGATGATTTAAAAACATTTATCGTTTATCATATAAGAAAATTTAATAAGTTACGTAAGCAAGCAAAAAAACGAAAGCATAAAATTTTAATTTAATATTATATATTTTTCAAATGAGAAATAATAAAAAAAACAATTAAACATTAAATTGATGAATATTATTTAATATTATAAATTCCAATCGGTGTTCATATTCACGTAGTTTGTTCAACATTTATCAAATCGCTTTTCCATTCTTCTAAATCACCAGTCATTGACTTTGTTTCTCCAATTTCGTATTCAACATCCTTGGCACTGTAATAAAATAGTAAAAGTATGTATCACTTATTTATATAAAGGAATAAAATACAGGAATATATATACCGGAATAAAATTAATATATAAATTATTATAATACCACGTTTTGAATATAACATTTCAAAAAGTATAAATTTAAAAACGATTAGTTCTTGGGTTAAGCCCCGGCTGTTCTTGGAATATATTACATTGGTGTGTTCTTTCATCAAATCTCTTCAATCTTAACATGTACAAATTTCCGGATTCATCGTATGAAGTCAGAGCCATGCTTATGATTGCATGATTTTGTTACATGACAGAAATCTGTACCATTTTCTTTTCTTTTTATATGTATTTATTGATTGTATCTTCTTTTTTAATGAAACTAACCATAAGTTCTTTTTTAAATCTTAACACTGTGTACATAACATTAAAATTTTAAATAAAATAAATAAAATATATAAACATAATATTCCGGGTCTCATTTAAATCACTAAATTGGGTTAAGTTATGGGATGTATGATTTTTAAAAGAAACAAGTAATGCGATGCTATTCTGAATAATAGCTGGACAATGGGTTGGCCATTTTTAACAAGAAATACTTAATGTAATTGCAAGATTTCTAACTATCGTGTTCTGTCATGTTTTTATTCATTATTAATCCAAAGGAATTCGTCCAGCACTTACAAAAATTATAGAATTTTACTTAAAATCTAAATGGACAATAACATATTTTTTGTGTGTCAGACGTTTTTATTTTATTTTCTCCTAAAAATTATATACGGACTATAAAGTAAGTAAATAAAATTCGATTATTTCCTAAGACCACTGATGAAGAGTACTTGACAATACTCGAAACAGCGTTGTATGGTCAGCCAAATTTCAATAAAAAATTAAAATACAATTTTTGTTTGTCCTTTCTTTCTTTCTTTGTTATTCGAAAATTCTCTAAAAATTTAAATATCGCTTCTTTGTCACTATAAAGAAAGCGTAGCTTTATCAGCAACAATAATACATATTTCCTTCTAACGCTATCAAATTCAGGGAATTTCTAGATCTCGGTGATGACTTTAATTTCTAATGTATTATGTGGCGTCAATAATTGTACTCAGTATTTTTGACTGAGCTCTTTGGAGAATTATAATATTTGAATCACTACCATTTTCAAATTGCTGGAAGCTGTCAAATTATGCTGTTGTTGTTTTTGGTAACCTGTTAGGATCTATTAGTAGATAACATGAAAGGTTTACAACAAGACGAATATATTGGGATAGGATGTGGATGGTTGGCTAAAAGTATTTCACATACAAAAGTAAGCGTAAAATCAGAGCTGGACAAATATAAAGCAAACGAGTTGAATTGCATTTCAATCTACTGTTAGTTACGGTTGCACCCTGCGGGTAAGCGATTTAGAATATTCCCACAGTAGATATTCTTGTCGTAGAAGGCGACTAAAATTCCGGTGCCAATCCGGTACTTGTATAGGAAGTACGTATGATAGTGAGTGAGCACGGCACTTGGGTCATCTGACCAGAGATGATCCGATCTGGTACTTCGGGAGTCAGTGGCCCGTAGCTTCGGCTGTACTGACAATTAGCATTGGCTTCGAAGTGGCTGTGGTTAATACCCAAACTCACGCGGGAAGAATGAAAAACATTATGGTGCATTCGGCTTGGAGTTGCGTATTCACCACCAGGTGCTACAGCCCACATTGTAGCAGAGGTTTTAGGTAGGCCTCGCATTAAACCAAGATGGAAGTTATGACCTATACACATTTCTTCATTGGAACCTGTGTAGGTTAATTCCAAGGGGGCGCTTATTGACGCTTTGTATCAAGACGTTTGCTTTTGAGTAACGTGATGTTAAGCCTACACGGCAGGGAATCACATAGAGACTTCTGTCAGTTTCTGTCAAAATATTTTTTTTCTCGTGCTACACAGATTGACGACACAGTTAGCAGAGCCATTTTTTTACTTTGAGTAAGTCAATCTCCTTCTTAGTAATATGACTACGTTCACACCTACCGCAACGAGATGATGTCAGTGCGATTAAATAATGGCAAGAGCTTTTTGCACTTTTCAAGAGGTAGTCTCTTAATATGGAGGCCATCAGAAAAATGGTGTCATTTGGTTTCAATTAGGATTATAAAAGATTCACGAATCTTTATTTTAAAAATTATATACTAAATTCAAGAAAATTAGAAAATGATTTAAAATTGAGGTAATAGTCAAAGTGAATCCTTCAATGTTATTTTTTACGAAAAAAAAATGAAATCAATGATGAACGAAAACTTCTCGTTATTCGAATTTTTAAACAGTTTTTCCCGAATTGAATACGTAGGCTGAAGTCTATGCAGTACTGTTTTAAATAATTAATTTAATATAATTTTACGTATTTAATATCTTACTTTTAAAAATGAGATTAATGTTTTCTTTATTAAATACAAAAAATGCGCACTTAATGATTTTAATGCAAAATAAATATATACTACGGAAAATGTCTTCACATATATACATATGTAGGCCATATGTTGGATATGGTCTAAAAATATTTAAGTTAAGAATAGTCCATTGTTTTGAATTTCGAATGGTTGTTGACTTTGCTATAAGCAAGTATTTCTCAACACAAGGTGTTTAGTAGAGACACATGAGTATTTGCTGTATAACTAATGAAACTGTTATAAAGTACTAAAATAAGTATAACAATTTGTTGTTACTGGTTTTTACAAATTTGATTGCTTAGTGTTTAAACTGTCATAGAATATAATTAATAAATGTTTTCAGCTAAATAGTTAACTTAAAAAGTTTTTAAACAAATAAATATTTGTTTAAAAGACTTTTTAAATATTTGATAAATTTAAATTTTAGAATTGAAAAATTTTTATATCTATTTTAACAACTGACAGTTCCATAAAATAGCTTAATTTAGGTCGTGTGCGAGTTAGGCTAAGTTGCGTTCTAAATGAGGAAAATTCTAAGTTGTGTCGATAATGTATTGATGTGTCGATACGTGTTGATAAATGGCAAAATGTGTGCAGTGCAAAAAATCCTAAAAAATCTCCCATTTGGTTTAGCATCAACTTAGCCTAACTCGCACACGTCC